AAATTAATTTCAGTCTTATATATATTCAGTCTTATATGCATAATGAAATGAGTTGTTATTATTTGTATGGAATCCTAGTAGCTATTCATTCAACATGAAATTAGTTGTTGATCTAATTCAGTTCTGATTTGTTTGCAATCCACAGGATAGTATAAAGCATGAATTACACTTCCTGTTAGTACCAAGTTTCAAATTGAATATAGGAAGATTTATCCCAATAAAAAGCTATGATTTACTTTGCACTGTCAAATAGTAATGAATACATAGCAAAAACTAGATCTTCTGTATAGTGACCCATAGCAACCATCAGTGGTAAAGATAATCCAAGTTAGATCTAGAAACGCAATTCTCAGTGCCATTCTCCTTCAATAGCAAGATCTAAATAATCTGCACTTGTGTCAGAATGTCAGAATGTTAAAGTGTTGAGATCTTACTTTGAGTCTAGAAGTGAATTTTGGTGTAGATTTATCTACTCCAGAAACAATAGTCCATAAACAATACAGGAAGCTTGACTTACCACTCAGCCAAAAAGTTATTTGATACTAAAACAGAAAAAGCCTTCTGAAAAGGAAAAAATTTGTGGTCTTGTAGTAAAGCACTGAAATTGTGCAGACTAGAGTTGGAAACTGTGAAGTGATAAACAATGATAGAAACTTACAATACCTTCCTTCTTTCCCTGAAATAGCCAACTCCCTTTACTGCCTCATTATACATCAGTGCTATTGAAAGTTCTGTAATATAATGAGAATACTTCTCACACATAAGATTTTTGAAGGCAAACTGCAACAGCAGAAAATATTTTTCATAGTCCTGCATAAATGAGAACCACACAGATACTGCATTTATATTCAGCTGATAATAAAAGTTTATTTAGCAAAGCCATTAAAGCCTGATTAAAATTTGATGGGATGATAGGATAAATGTGGTAAGTCCACTGGGGTCTGAATTGCTGCCAGTATTGATTAATACCTTTAACACCCCAATGGGAATCCTGTCAAAAGCATATTTCAAATATAAGACATGGGAATCAGAATAAAGCCCCAGATAACAGCTGCCATATCATTTAGTTGAGCATTTCGTGTCCCTGTAGGACAAGCAAATGAAACGAGATAATGGAATGTTGCTAAAGGATTGATTTGACTCACAAATGTACGTGGGAATTTACAGATTCTGAAGATACGAGTCCATATTTGTACATAGCATTCACCAGCCTAGTTGAATTTCTCAAGGCTTAAATGTGGCCCAGGCTCTGTCCTGGTCACGTTAAATCCGACAAATATTTTGATGTATCTGAAGATAACAGTTTGTAGATGGTAAGGGAATACATCTGGCAAGGAAACCAATGCAGAAGAAGTGATTATAGAGAAACTCACAGAAGAAATTGTTTTGCTGACAGTAAAAATACAGTTTTTCCAGATATGAGGGTGGTATTAAACAATGTAAAACCAAGAATGAGAAGTGACAGACAGGAACAGATGTGGATGAAGATTCAGAAAATGTTTGGAGAAAGGAAGAGAATGTAATAAAATTGTAACTGGTCTGTTAGCAAGTCTGTCATTTCTTTAAAGGTGAAGATAAGAAGCCTGAACTTTTATGTCAAGGCAGAAGCTCAAAGAAATGTGAAAGGAGAGAGAAAGAGAGAATTGCAAAAGCATTTTTGCTATACTTGTAAGGAAAATACAGAGATTTGGAAGAAGCAGAAAAAAGGTTATGTTTTATGAAAAAATCAGTCAAGCATGGCCTAGATTTGAAAGAGAACAAATTAAAAAAGAAAGGAATGAATGCTTGTGATTTAAATGGACAAAAGGTTAAGGGAAGTGTTGCAGATGACTGTGAGGTTGAAAGAATGGAACTGTGAATGATGATAAGGAAAAGGTAAGATCTAGAGGTTGCGGGGGGGAGGTTTGGTTTTGTTTGGTGGTTTGTTAGGGGGATGTTAGTTTTGCAAAAGCAAGCCATGGGTTCCTTACTCCAAATCCTGTTTCTACAGTATGCTAGTGAAAAAGAGTTATTCATACAGAATAAGTGCAAGAAGAATTAACTGCAACCCAGCTCAATAAAGTTTTCGTGAATTGAAGAGTTTGTATTATTAAATAAAAAGCAAAAATCAAATCCAGCATGGATTCAATAGATGCAATACAAGATAGGGTTCATGTCATTATTTTATTAGAACAGGCTTAAAGTCTTTAAGAATCTTGTATTTTCTCTTTCCTTGCTTAATCAGTAATGGCAACTTTTATTTAAATTATCTCTCACTGACATGTTTTGGGACCCTGAAAGGTTCCTTACTCTTTTGGTAGGAAAGGAAAATCTAAGATATCTGTAATAGGGGATTCTCTTATGTAAAATATATCATTGTCATGCTTGGATCTAGACCCTCAGCTGAGTGTTGTCTGCAGAGCTAGCTGATTACCAGTGGCTTTGGTGGAGACAGCTAAGCAGGGTAGGGTTTACAGGTGTGGCATGGTTAGAACTATCTGCTCATGTTTGGATAGTACTTGAAGATTAGAGAACATCAGTAAGATTGGTGAGAATGTTTCAGGGAAAAAGTTGCTATGAGTTTGCCATAAGAAGTTTTTTTTTGAAGATATGTCAGTAAGTCTGTTTTGCTTGGAAAAGGCTGCGAGATGACTGTTCATACATGGCTCATTAAATAACAAAACTTTGTCATTCTGATATGTTAGCTCAGAATAGCAGCTTTAAAATCCAACTGTGCATATATTAAATTTACTGCTTTTTCAGTACTTTTGTCTTGTTTTGTTATAGCTGCATGCAGTATTGTTAGTTGTTTCCTAGTGAATGTTGTCTCTAATATAGGATTTCATGTACTACTGCATTTGATCTTTTCTTCCAACTGATTTTATGAAAGAAATTGAGTTTCAAGGTATTGTACAAACTGCATCATCCACATCTTCTCTACTTCTATTGTTTGCAAAGTTTGACTCTCTGTTTGTATCCAATGGAGTTTAATCAAACAGCAGTGACATTTAAGAACTCTTTCCTCAAAATTCTTTATAGGCAAACAACCTTCTTCAATTTAGTAGTCTGCTGTGCACACAGGATACTTTTTCCTTTTAATCTTTTTTTTAAAAATGTATAAATTATTTAGTTGACTATAATATATATTACAGGTAGACCTTCATTGGGTATTGTTCAATCCTGAGATGGATGGATTAATAATATAAAAAAAATTTAAAAACCTAGTGAAAAGTCTGGTGTTTTATTGGTGGGGTTTTTTAATTATTATTATTTATTACATTAATTTTACATTGTTTACACTAAGCTGAGTATTCATTCCTTTTTTCTTTAAACGTTTACGTACCTGACTAACTAGGTGTAAGCCCACTGATTCCTAATAGATACACTAAAATAATTTACTGCTCAGGGATGAGCATATTTAAGCAGTTCAGTTTCTCAAATCTAATACACTTACTGGGCTTTAAATTAAAGTTCTTCCCTCCAAATTTGTTTTACCTAGACATATAGAATCATATAATAGCTTAAGGATCATCAAGTCCAACCACAACCTAATCGTACTGCCCTAACTCTAACAACCCTTCATTAAATCATGCCCCTGAGCACCACATCCAAACAGTTTTTAAACACAACCAGGGATGGTGACTCAACCACCTCTGTGGGCAGCCTATTCCAGTGCTTAATAATCCTTGCTGTAAAGAATTTTTTCCTGATATTGAACCTAAACTTACCCTGGTACAACTTGAGGCCGTTTCCCCTCGTCCTGTCACCGGTGAGAAGAGACCAACCCCACTCTCGCTGTAAGCACCTTTCAGATGTGGGAAGAGGGCAATAAGGTCTCCC